TAATCCCCAGGCCAGGATTAACACCACCACTGCTGCATCCGCTGCCTCCCGCATCCCACCCCAGGGCAAGGGCACAACAAGGGTCCCTGCCCCCACCAGGGGCAGGCCAGCCCCCCCCCAGGGGCATCAGGCTGCAGGGCACCACCACCGCAGCCCCCAGGCCCATATCACACAGACAGGAGCCAGACCCTCAGCAGCCCCTTAATTCCAAGGTGCATCATCCGCAGCCAGAGCCAGCAGCCACCCCGGGGTGCCCCAGCAGAGCCCCCGACCCCAGTAGCCCCAGGGTGCCGTTCCCAGGAAGGAGCTGGCAGCAGGCACCTTGCGTGGGGGCCAGCAGGGCAGCCCTGGCAGCAGCACCCGCATCTCTGCGCACATCAGCCTGCAGAGACAATAGGGACAGTCTGTTCCCCTGTGAATGGGGCCGGGGGGGCCCACCACGCCGCAGACCGGCACAGAGGGCTCGTAACAGACAGTGGCATCTTTTTTTAAAGCCTTTTATTCACAGACGTGGTACAGACACATGGAAAACTGACATGATCACATTGTGGAAGAGTGAGAGCGCCCAGCTGGACCCCAGCATCCTCCCAGCCCTGTGGGACCAGACTCCCGCCTGGGGCACAAGCAAGCCAAAGTGTTTGAAGCTGACATTTTGTAGACATGCTACAGAGACAGGGGGAACCAGGCGTTTAGTATTCCTCCCCTTCTTCCTCACCTTCGCCTTCCACCGAGTCCACCCCCACCTCCTCGTAATCCTTCTCCAGGGCAGCCATGTCCTCCCGCGCCTCCGAGAACTCCCCCTCCTCCATGCCCTCTCCCACGTACCAGTGCACAAAGGCTCGCTTGGCATACATCAGGTCAAACTTGTGGTCCAGGCGGGCCCACGCCTCGGCAATGGCCGTCGTGTTGCTCAGCATGCCCACGGCCCGCTGCACCTTGGCCAGGTCCCCCCCGGGAACCACCGTGGGCGGCTGGTAGTTGATGCCCACCTTGAAACCCGTGGGGCACCAGTCCACAAACTGGATGCTGCGCTTGGTCTTGATGGTGGCAATGGCTGCATTGACATCTTTGGGCACCACGTCGCCACGGTACAGCAGGCAACAGGCCATGTACTTGCCGTGGCGAGGGTCACACTTCACCATCTGGTTGGCCGGCTCAAAGCAGGCATTGGTGATCTCTGCTACAGAGAGCTGCTCGTGGTAAGCTTTCTCAGCAGAGATGACGGGGGCATAGGTGGCCAGGGGGAAGTGGATACGGGGGTAGGGCACCAGGTTGGTCTGAAACTCGGTCAGATCGACATTCAGGGCCCCATCAAAGCGCAGGGACGCCGTGATGGAGGACACGATCTGGCCTATCAACCTGTTGAGGTTGGTGTAGGTGGGGCGCTCGATGTCCAGGTTCCTGCGGCAGATGTCGTAGATGGCCTCGTTGTCCACCATGAAGGCACAGTCGGAGTGCTCCAGGGTGGTGTGGGTGGTGAGGATGGAGTTGTAGGGCTCCACCACAGCCGTGGACACCTGAGGTGCCGGGTAGATGGAGAACTCCAGCTTGGACTTCTTGCCATAGTCGACAGACAGGCGCTCCATGAGCAGGGAGGTGAAGCCGGAGCCGGTGCCCCCACCGAAGCTGTGGAAGACCAGGAAGCCCTGCAGGCCTGTGCACTGGTCAGCCTGGAAGAGGAGGGAAAGACAAGATACTTACTTAGTTGATGCATCAGCAGAGCTGTCCTGGTGCGTTACAGAGCAGAGAGAAGCTGCTGCTTCCTCTTCTCTGTGGCCTCGCTATGACATTGTGGGGACTTTCCAACAGCAGGGCAGAAGCCACCAGGACAGGGTGACCCTAACTCGATCTGTTGGGAGTGCCACGGGAGCAGTGAATTCCCCAGGGGAGCAGTGGGAAGCCCCTGCACAGCCTGCGGGGCTGGATTTCTGCTGTGTGTCATGTGGCCCCAGAGCTTGGCCCAGGCTGAGCCTTGCCAGCAGCAGCAACGTGAACCCAAGGGTGGCTTTTCTGGGTGCGTTTTGTGTGCAGGGCTGGGAGGAACAGGGACAGGGCT